CTTCTCCTTCTCCTTCTCCTTCTCCTTCTCCTTCTCCTCCTCCTCCTCCTCCTCCTCCTCCTCCTCCTCCTTTTCCTTCTCCTTCTCCTTCTCCTCTTCCTCCTCTTCATCCTTCTCCTTCTCTTCCTATTCCTCCTCCTCTTCATCTTTCTTCTTCTCCCCCTCTTCCTTCTCCTCTTCCTCCTCCTCCTCCTCTACCTCCTTCTCCTTCTCCCCCTCTTCCTTCTCCTTCTTCTCCCCCTCCCTCTCCCCTCTTGCTCCCCCTCCCCCCATCACAATAATATTTCAGACCGCCAATATTCAGGGAAATGAAACCAACCCCTCCTAACCTGAAAACCAAGTGGGGGGGGGTGGAATGATGGCAGAAATCTGCTACTCACGCTACATTTTAAGATTAAACGTTGGAATTTCATCAAAGCAAGTTGTCACGGCCCATTTGCTTCAGGCCTAAGAGGGGGAGCATGAAAACGCAGCCTCCATTTTTCCGGCATTAAATAGGATTGCATTCTGCAGGCTGGTGGTTCTAGAAACAATATGTTTCAGCAGTGATAAGCTCTCCTCGCCAGCTCTCATCCTGCAGACACCCAATTTTATTAATTGGCCAGGATGCTTAAAGCTTTTTTTCTTCTTCTTTTTTTTTTTAACGGAAAAAAACACTTAACAAAGCTTCAAATGAGAACTGGATGTGTTATTGCCAAGGTGGCACCTCTTATGCATATTTAAATGGACAGAGTCCAAATATTTATTCAACCAAGAAGGACGCAGTTGATGCTGAGGTTCAGGAAGTTGCGAAGAGTCAGGCCCAATTTAACAACAATGATACAGAAAGGCTTGACCTGGGATGGCAACAACACATTTCTTACCAGGACGTTTGACTCTTAAGCCAAGGAGAAGGACACCCAGCAAAATGACAACTAAACCAGCATCTGAAACTCACTCCCTCAATTTTTCTTACAGTTACGGACCAGCATTTACAAACAAAACCATTCAAAGCACTAACGCCAATTTTAAAATGAAAGCAAGGACAGATAGAATAATAGGTTGCAATTGGGGTGGGGATGGATTCTCCGTGTGCAGTTTGCCTCATTTTTACACACGACGTAACAAAGTTGGGCCGCAATTCAGAGAAATAATAATAATAATAATATTAATAATAATAGTAATAATAATAATAATAATAATAATAATAATAAAGTTGGAAGGGACCATGGAGGTCATCTAGTCCAACCCCCTGCTTTGTACTGTAGTCCTTGACCTACGGCCACAGTTGAGCCCGAAATTTATGTTGCTAAAGTGAGACATTCGCTCAGTGAGTGTTGCCCCCATTTTCCGACCTGGCTTGACGCGGTTGTTAAATGAATCGCTGCGGTTGTGAAGTGTGTCACAGGGTCGTTAAGCGAATCTGGCTTTCCCAGTGACTTTGCTTGTCGAAGGTTGCAAAAGGGGGATCACGTGACCCCGGGACGCCGCAACCGTCACAAGTACATGTCAGTTGCCAAGTGTTTGAATTTTGATCACGTGATCCCGGGGATGTTGCAACAGTCCTAAGCGTGAAAAACAGTCCTTTTTTTCAGCGCCGTTGCAGCTTTGAACGGTCACTAAATGAACTGTCGTAACTCAAGGACTATTGATACTAAACTAGTCAATCTGTTGACGGTATGTTCACCTGCCATCTACACCCTACGTGAATAACAAATTATTAACAGAAAAATACGAATAATAAAAACCCCATAGAAAAGCATAAAAGTGATTAAAAAAACATTATTAAGAATAAAAAAGATCGAATTGAAATTCCCCCCAAAAATGCTGTCGTTTCAAGGCTCCCCCATCCAGAGGGACACAATCTCAGCTCATATGATGATGATGATTATTATTATTATTTGTATCGGGGGCCCAAAACTGCTGTGGGAAATGCACTGCAAATTCCCAAACAGGAATTCTCCTTTCCTTTCCAACTGCCTGAACTCTTTACCCTGTTTCACAACAACATCAGGCTTACCAAACCCAGCCCACGTAGAGCTGGCTAAAAGTTCAAAGTTTCCAAGTTCTAGGATTGTGACGGTCTTTAAAAAAAAACAACAACAACACAGAGATAATTCAAAGTTATCCTGCTGCAATCAAAAAAGGGTGCAGCAGAAGGGAGAATCACTCTTGGGCACAAATGCAAAAAACAATTAAAAAAAAAAATCTCTTTCCCAAACCAGACTCAGATTTTCTGGGAAGAAGAATCAAGAGTCCTGGATTGGCCCTTCATGAATCTTGCAATCGTTTCGAGCCACACTAGGGAGATTCTAGGCTTGCACAACCCTGAATAGCCCTCCGAACGGGGTGGGGAATTTGCAGAGAAGGAAGAGCTGAGCGTGGAAAAAGAACAGCTCTTCAAAACCCCCACATTTGTTTCTACGCGTTTAACAGTCTTCTTTCCACAAACTCTCCGAGCTACGAAATGGCAGGCGAATCTGAACCAAATAAGAAACGAGAAGCTGAAAGACAGAAGTTTGATATTTGCAAGACCCTCCCTCAAAAACCCACACCAGTCAATCCTCTGAAGTCTTCTTCTCTCCACTTCTGCGTCCTCCGAGCAGGTGGTCCCCAATTTGGATCTCAAGGACAATCTTCAGGTTTTTCCCGGTGACCTCAGTCCAACGAAACAGAGATAAGAGCAGAACAGAAGAAGGCCGGGCCTCTGAAGACGAGCGAGGAAGCCAAAACATTGTGACACCCTTAGGAGTTTGCAAAAGGTTCGGGGTGGGGTGGGGACACTCGGAAGACGGATTGACAAAGCGTGTCAAATCAGCAAGGTGAGGCTTCTGAACGCCTGGCAATTGTGTAAAAAAGATGGAGTTTTGTCACTGCTGTTGCCAACGGTCTCTGAAGGAACTTCTCTTCAAGAGGCCTACGCAATAAGTAGCTTTCCGTTGTTCTGAAGGACATCTCCTAGCTTCTTTCATAACTGCTGGCTGAGATTGTGGAGCTCGCCGTTTCGGTCATATCGGAAGCCCTGCCTTTACGTTCCTTAAAAAAAGGTATCTATGAAAATGTCCGTGGAGCATTCTTAATCATCCAGGTCAGGGTTGTCCCAAAAAAGGCTTTTCTAAAAGGAACTGGACTTTCTTGGTGTGGGTTTTTTTCTCTCTCTCTTGGAAATGTGTCACTTCTCATCCTAGAAGCGTCTTCGGTTGAAGAACTCAACTGAAGAACTGGGAGAAAAAAAAACCCACCAAGAAAGACCAGTTGCCTTTTGAAAAGCTCCCCTGAGTATCTACTGGAACTTGCTGATCCTGGGGACAAGACTGAACCTTCAGCCCACAGGAGATAGTCAGTTAAAGGAGTGTTCATGACCATCACCTTAATTGTGGCTGTAACCCTGTGTCTTGATCAAGCCGCAAAGGCTGGATTCGTGCACCACCCTGGATCATAAAAGGGTTGCACCATCTTATGGCAGAGTCAGATATACATTTCCTCAGATGCCTACAAGTGATGGGACCACCATTCA